AGCTCACCAAGTGATCCTCACACACACTCCTTTAAGAAAGATGCTTAATAGACATTTTAGGGGGCTCTAACACGAGCAGTGCAGAGGCAGGAGCCCGCAAGAAAAAGAAAAAAGGCAGAGTTTAGGCTTAAAAAGAGTGACTGTGAAGCCAGGAGTGAAATTGCCTTTTACAACCTCCTCCAAGTGGGGCTGCAGCTCTAAGCCAAGCCTCACATTAACGATTTACGTACATTCACTGCTATCTCCTATTACCATCAAGATATCCAGAGGTAACCCCTTCTAGCTGGAAAACTCCTGCTTACAGCCCCTCACCAAGTAGAAAACTGGGTCTCAACAACCATAAACCTATTCAGAAAGCCAGAGACCCTTGTTCAGGCAGTAATCTTTGTGTTCACATCCCAACAGGCTGCTAGTGGCATAGAATCTATCACCCAAGCCAGGAAGAACAGGTCACACACTCTGCTTTGAGACCACAAGGCTGGCAATGCACTTCTGCTTAAGTTTTCACTGAGTCTGATGGGGTTTTTGACCACCTTCCCCCTCACTAGATGCTCAGCTGCCATCTGCACCCAATTATTTTATCTTTCTCCTCCATACTGGAGAGACTTTTGGACTCCAAGCACAAAAAGCTCCAGTCACAATCTCATGTTCTTTATGGGCTGTACACACCAAGCAAGGCAGTTTGCCTGGGGAGGGGGGGATACATTCTCTAGCTTCATCTATCTTCAGCTACTAAAGGCATGCTGTCAGACTTGGGACTTGCCCGGAGGCACATCAGCTCCATGAAGCAAGGTCCTGAATATTGTGCAAATATTGCAAAATCCTAAGTTTGTTTTTAAATTCTCCATTCTGGGACTTTCAGAGTAACACATTCTGCTAAAAATACTGCAGCATTCTCCTGTGATGAGGAAGCAAAGATGATCACCTCCCAGATCTTTAATTGCAAACAGAGCCTTGAAACATAACCAGTAACATTACTGGCTGCTGTACCTATACAAAACTCCATTCCTCCATGGCAGCATAACTTGATCCTGTACTTCAAGAAAGCATTCCCTTTGGGGAATAAGCTGAGCTTTGTTTGAGTATCAGGCTTAGCGGGAAAAGATAGGAAGGTGCTTGTGGCTGTGGGCAGCCCCACTCTCCTGGTGAACCTGCTTGTCCATGTTGTTAGGCAGTTGTGTAAGGACGATTCTCCATCTCTTTTATTGCCATCAGATTTTCCTGACTCAGCTACATTTTTCATCTAATTTATGTTACACACAGGCAAACATTCAAACCAAACAGAGCAGGAAACTCCTACCTGCAAGGGGAACCTGCTTAACTTCCACCGAGCTGGAGAGCACAGCCCCTGCGACAATCATGTCCCAGGCCAGTACCTGCTGCGCATGGCCCATGAGCACCACAGACCCAGCTCCCTTGGAGCCACATCAGTGGAGGTGCTTGCACAAACACCCACAGAGGCTTCATGGCAGGGGGGTTGGAATGAGATGATCTCAAGGTCCTTTCCAAGCCTAACTATTCTATGATTCTATTCTGGAGGCTGGGACCCCGCAGCATCTGTCACTGACCTGCCAACGTGTTCTAGGAAGAGACCCTTCACGGCAGCACTACCTGAAAGCAGATGCCTCCCTCAAGGTTTCCCTGGAAAGGACACAGACAGAGGGACACTAGGCCTGGCTTAGTGATCTGAAGAGAAAGGAAGCAGGAGCACAACTCCCAGGAAACATTTCCACCCAGAAAATACCCTTAATATTCTCCTTCAGCAAGTGATGAGAACAGATGTGATTCAGAACTGGCTTCTACGAGAAGCACAGTATCACCAGCAGCAGCTTCTGGACAATATGAGGCACTAAGGAGGTGAGACAGTATTTATGGTACACAGATAAGAGTTGTATTAATGTTACAAATGCTATCACCAGGCCTATCCTCATCACAAATGCATTCAAGAGCAGGGCAATCACCTCTAACACTTCTCTTATGCAAACTGCTTTACAGTTCAGACTTGGTTCACAGGTAGATGCTCCAAAGCTTCAGTTACCCCAGATTCCAAAGGAGCTACATGGAAAATCATTCTAATTTAAACCAGTTGTCATTAAAAAGGTCTGTGCCTCCACTGAACTCTTTTCATGGACATTTAGAAGGACATTTCGACAGCCCCCAAGTAGTGTATTTACAAACAATGGCTCACTGAATTCCAACCAGTGTGTCCCATGCCAAGGCACATTACCAGCACCAGCACAGCTTCTTTCAGACTGGACCTCTGGAGTCCTGTGACTGACAAGGTCTCTAATGAACTCTAATTGCAGACTCTGCAACAACAGATGTGGTAAAAGGGCAAACCACAAACTGGTTTGTTAATGAATGAGAAGTGTCTGGTCTGATAAGGGCCAGTGACCCAAAAATTCTCCTCTTCCACCCACCCTTTTACTTCATGTCTGTTTGGGCCCTTTCCCTCGGCAGCCCAACACTTGGGGGCAGTAACATACAGCCTTGAAGACGTTCCATGGACTCATGTTGCACCAAGATACTCTTAGTACCAACAGAGGATGGCTTTGACAAAGTAAGACGCACTTTCATGCTGTTATCCTTCCACAAGGAATTCCAAGCCTTGGAAGTAGACATCAGCTCCTCCTATATTTGTATAGTAAATGTTTTCCAAAACTAAGACTTTTTCAGTCTTGGAATGATTTGGGTTGAAGGGAGCTTAAAGCTCTTCCAGTTCCAACCCCTGCCACAGGCAGGGACACCTTCCACTAAAGCAGGTTGCTCCAAGCCCCTGTGTCCAACCTGGCCTTGAACACTGCCAGGGATGGGGCAGCCACAGCTTCTCTGGGCAACTTTCAACCCACAAAGTCCATCTTCATCTCCCTTCCAATGGATCTTAAGCAGCAAAACAGCAGCTCCACTCTCTGGAGATCAATTCCTATGGAAAGACCATGGGAAGCTGAGCTGCAGCAGTTCTCAAAGTAATAATAACTTAAGCTTCACACACAAAGAGATGATGTGGGCCTCTGCATCATGTCTACTGCAGCGTGGCAGTGTAATGAAGCAAGGAAACCAAGCACAAAGGGAGCAGAAATCAGGGGCCATCTTTTATAACTGTGTGACATGGTTTAGTGGTGGCCTTGATGATCTTAAAGGTCTTTTCCAACCTAGTTGCTTCTATGATTCTATCACAAATTTAATGAAGCTGCTCACACTTGCCATGCATTTGGAGTCTGACCTTTCCTTTCAAGGAGGTTACTGTCTGGTAATGGTACAGGAAACAGAATGAGAAGGTCAGCTTTAAAGTTTGGATGAAACTTGCCAAAAAAGGTCAACACACTATTCGCTGGAGTCTGGTTTATGATGTTTTTGGAACTATTACAGGTGGCAGTGCACAGTCTCACTGGAGCATAGACTTCAGTCTTGTGCAGGTCAGGCTGAGAGCAGCTGCAGAAGAGCTCTACAGATGTCTCAACAATAAAGAGATCACACTGGATTTAACAAACCATTTCAGTTCTTCCCCAGAGAAGGGCCTGCAGTGGGTAATGTGGGAATCACACATACCCTCTCCTCCTAACAAGCATCCAACTGCTCTGGTTTATGTTACACTTGCAATAGGAAGAGAAGCCCGGGGAGCGCGTTGCTGATGGAAAGCATGTAGAGCACTAATGAGCACCATCCAAAAGCAATTCCAACCTTTAGAGGTAAGCAGCAATTTTGTGAGTCATTAAAAAAACTTCATAGCAATTACACAGCCAAGCTTAGCATAGCTCCCCAAACAGCTTGTTTTGAATGGGCCTTGGAGCTGCTCAAACCCTGTCCAGTCCTCCCAGCTTCATCCCAAACCCAACATTGTCACCCCAGACCACAGCAGCGATTTCCTTCCTGTGTCCTACCTTCCCCAACAGCCACAAAAGTGATGCTTCAGGTTGCCAAGAGTTTTGGTGGCACAGATGTAGCCCATTACTAAATGGTTTCAAGAAGGAAAAATAATCCCTTCTTGCAGGGAGTAATTTCTTTCCTGACCCACAGAGCTTTCTTACCTGTACCTTGGCTTATGGAAGTAAAAGCAGTATTTACTAGAGTTTGATAAATTTAAGTCAGCCACTACAGGTAAGACAAAAGGCTTAATCCAAAGGTCTAACAGCCCTGTTCCAGCCTAAATATCCTCTGTCTGCAAAGACTTAGAAGCTTAGGTCAGAAATAAGGAATATATTTTGACTGGACAACAGAAACAAGTTTTCCCAGCTACCCGTATAAAAGGTTCTGTATAGATTAAATCCATATTTCAGGAAGTTACTCCACAGGCAACTGTGCCACACAGTGTTTTACAGAACAACTGACACTCAGTAGCCTGCTATAGCCCAACTGTGCAACGCAGGATGTGAGGCAATCAGAATCCTGTCTAATGAGCACAGTTAGTGCTCATTAAGTCAGTTTTCTTCACTAGCAGTTCAGAGAAGGAAAACCAATGGTTCAGGTGCAAGCAGAACACAGGGATTGGGCACAGGATGGTTGGTCACTGGATACTCACTGGAGTGCAGAATACCTGAGAGAGCATAAATTATAACCAGATTTGGGTGTTCAGACATTTTCTGCCTTGAAAACCTCTTTGGAGCAAGTGCCACAGCACACCCATTCATGAGTCCTGTGCCAAGCTCCAAACAGGCAGGTAGTTCATCAGGAGACACCACACATGCACAAGAACATGCATCAACTTCCCCAAATTATTTCTACTAAACAGCAGCCTCCCAACCAGTTATGACTTCATCAAGAAAGCTGTTAATGCCCCTTCATCCCAAAGCATGTCCCTGCATACACAGCAGGACCTGCTGGCTTGCCCAAAGTAAACATGTAGATTCCTGACATCATTTGGGCAAGTGCTGTACTCTTCAACCTTGCCACTGGACAAGGAGAGAAACAAATCACCACACCTCGGAGCTGCCTCAGAAGATGTTCTTACATACCAGATCTCCATTACACCCAGGGCTCGGGTCGGAGCAGCCAATACTCACCAAGTCAATGAGGTCACTGAGATTCTTCTCTATCTGCTGTGGAGGCAGACGCCTCATCAAATCCAAGGCACAATCCAGCTGCTGGTCACTCTGCAGGAACAAGAAGAGGGTTATTGATGATATTCCATCACAACAGGGTAGGGAACACATTGACACACACGAACAGGAACTACAGTGCTTGCTGCCTCCTCCAATACCAGTTTGTAGTTCTAAGCAGCAGTATATTTTGTATTGCTACGAACAGATTTCAATACAGCTCAGTACCATTTGAGCACACATTACTGACTTGGTGTTTCAGAAAGCATTCTAGACTATGGATTTAAGCACACAGCTTTAACTGGTGTCATGCTGCCAGTTCAACATGGTGCTGTTGATGGAAAGGAGTCCAGTCCTTACCTCACCCAAGAACCAGTTCCAACGTTTGTGCAGATGTTTAATGCACTGGCTTTCTGTGCTATCTCAACAGCAATCTGGGTTAGGGAACTGAAAGGTCCCTCTCCCAAAGCAGTTTGAACATTTCCTCATCTGTATTGTCCCATTCAGCTTGAGATAACTCGTATCCAAAACAAATCCTGCTCCGACACAGAGCACTCTCCCTCCTCCTTTACTGAAAAACCAGAATGAAACACACACAAAGCATGACCCACAATTTCCTTCTTCCTACAACACACACACCAAAAGCTGCCTGTATCTGAGAAAGCAGAGACTTTATAGTTAAGAAATCACAGCAACATATTCCAAAGGGCTTATTGCAGCTGGTCTCACATCCAATTCTGACACACAAAACCCCCATTACACTTCACTTCAGAGGCAGAAAACACACAGCAGTCGTTATCAGCAACACTTGATGACCTGACCCACGTTCTTGACATAACCTGTAGTTCTCCCTCTCACCAACAGATACAAGCAGACACTTTCCTGCAAGCCTAACAGCACCCAAAATCTGCTGGAGTTACTTTGATCAGGCCAGCAGCAGCCACTTGGTTTCCACTGCTTCTTGCCCTCCCCTTTCCCTTTGCATTTCTCACCACCCATGTACCACAAGCTGAGCTTTGATTTCTCCCTCCTGTGGTCTGCCAAGCTCCAAACGTTTTAGTTAAGAAAGGCCTCAAACCTAAAGCAGTTACATTATCACATTAGTCAAGTAGCAGCCCCCAGGTCAGGGAGAAGCAGGAAGCAAAGTTTCCTGCAATTAAGCCATAGCCTTGGAATGAGGAAAGGAGGGAGCCCTCACTTTAGTAGACATCTATCAGGAAAGCTGCTCATAGAAGGTACTACCCATTCCCTAGCAAAAGGTAAGTATTTTACAGCCAGCAAGTCACACAGACTGGCCTGGGGAGATTATACATTTACTTCTCATCCAGTTCAGGTTATAGGACACGATCTTCCATATATCTGCAACAACCTCCTGAAGATGTGAGCTTTCAGCCCAATAAACAGGATGCACTGACACCAAGAACAGAAATCCATGACCCTGTTGTCACTGAAGGAAGATGCCTTCAAGCAACGGACATAAAACCTCCCCCCACACTCTTTAACTGCTCTGATAGGAAATCTTTGGCTGAAATGAGTCTGAAGTTCTTTATCTTGGAAAGCCACCCCAAATCGATCACTGAACTATCACTATATCCATGCACAAAAGCAACAGCCAAGAGCTTCTAAACTTACTTATCTTCATTAGATGTTCAGGGGAAGGGAAAACTACTCAATTTTCCCTACTAATCTTTCAGTCCCTGGAGAAAGATACTATTTAGACGGCCTAAGCCAGTGCAGCTCCAGCAGCCAGGCTCAGGCAGGGGACCTTTCTTCCCAAGTGTTGTCTTTACCTCCCACTATCTCTCACATCAAGGAAGGGAAGCTGGCACATGGTCACAAGGTCACGCTCCTCACTTTTGGATCGTGGGAACACTTATGGAAGTGCTGCATCTGCCTCTGCCAGATGGAATTGTTTAATACACAAAGAAACCCAGGGAAAGATGATGTTAAAACCCACCATCACAGCCACAACCCCAGAGCAAGTGTTAGTGCAACAGTTTGGAAACGAACTGCACCGAATGAAGGAGTATCTATGTATAGAATCCCAGCCTGGTTTGGGTTGAAGGGACATTAAAGCTCATCCAGTTCCAACCCCTGCCACGGGGTTGCTCCAAGCCCCTGTGTCCAACCTGGCCTTGAACACTGCCAGGGATGGGGCAGCCACAGCTTCTCCGGGCAACCTGTGCCAG